AACTCAACTGTGTTCAATAATTTAGAGACAAATGATGATCAAATAACCTGCAATGACGGATATAAATACTCATTCCATGACTTTTGTGTTGGTGGGAGTGGGGTGCAAAACCACTTATGGTGTGTTCATAAAAACTGTATAATCCTGAAAAACAGATTTATTCACTCAAATATTTAGAATACACTGAGGAAATGAAAAAAAACACTTTTTACTCTCTACTCTCTTTCTTTCTCCACACTCTGAATTCCCAACATACAAAATAGCTATATTTAGATAAAACTAACAAATGTGAAAAACATTAAAATGCAAATACGGCTGAGGCTATGAATTTCAAACGGTTGCAACAACTTGATTTGTAGCCTCCACTTTTGACAAATCTTGATTGCAGCCTCTATTCTTAGGCAGGGAAAAACAATTTTTTTTTTATATCAAGATTACTTCACAAAACATTTTGCACCTTAATATGATAAAAAAATTAGCTGTCCAAACGTAGAACCTCCATAGACAATAAGATTATTAAGATTTACACTTTCTCTTTTGAAAAATATGTGATAAATCGAATGAGTGGATCTTTTTGTCTTTGGGGTTATGCGTAATTTCTTCTCCTGAACAATATTATAAGTGCGTTTTTAAAATTAGATCATTCATTTTTTATTGACGATGTCATAAATTGAATAGGTTGTAAAATATCGGATTGATCTAATTTTATTATTTAATACACAAAAGATCTTATAAAATGAACAATTTGAATCATTAAAATGGGACCCGAATGAACGAACAACACTAATGTACATTTTGTTCAAAAAATGTACGGTAACAAAAATCAATGGTTAGAGATTGAGCACAATCATTAAAAGTGACCTGCTAAACAGGTCACTTTTTTATAGTTATGAGCTACAAAATCATATTTCTTCATAACTATAATCAAATTAATCTTAACTTAATCATAACCACCCTCATAACCAACACCATTTTGTTCATAACTAATATCACATATTTCATAACCACATCTCATAACCAAATCCATTTTGTTCATAACTAATATCACATATTTCATAATCATAATGA